CCCCTTTTTCCTCCACTCAGAACCTTTTTTTCCTCACTTACCCAAACCCAAACCTTGCTAAACCTAAACCCAAACATAGATAGTATTCGAACCTGGGATCCATTGCCCAGTTCTGCGGTGTCTTACCACTGGATCACCGGTGCTACTCGATGACGATAATGTCTAGTGGCGTTGTGCGAGAGCGGGCCTGATGGCGTTTTCCAGACTCGCCAATTGCTTGTGGTCCTGCTTCCTGATCTTGGCCCACTCACGGACGGGTATAACACCGTAGAACAGGTCCCGGAAGTTGCCAACCAGTGTGTAAAGCATTTCGAGGTCGTACTCGTACTCTTCGGGTCGTTCTTCGCGTTTGTGGCGGGGTAATTTCTCTTGCTGCCGTATGTGGAGTGCCAGCATCTTCAGGGATTCTTCTGACGCCCTTAGGTTGGCCAAATATGTTTCGCACCACATACGACGGAGGCCGCCGTCCGTATCAGTCCCATCGGTGGCCTTCATCTCGTTCCAGAGCATCCAATTAAACGCACATCCGGCCCGAGCCTCATCGAGCTTGGCTGCCCAGACCTGTATCGGGGTACTGACACCTTCCTGTACCTCCTTCTCATCCTCCTCAACTGTTTCCCAGTCAATCACCACGGTCACTGTTCCGTTGTCCAGCGCCTTGCCTACCCCTTTTGGCAGGGTCCGAATTCTCTTAACACCATCCGAAGCAACCTCCGAGATCTTCTCCGGAGCAACCTTTGCGGTCTCCGCCGCGAAGTCCAGTCTGTACAGCAGCTTTCCGCCGCTGCTTACGTCCGCGATTTCGATCAAAGGAGCACCGTTCGAGTTCGTAATACCAACCGGCTTAGCCACTGGCAGGCTCGGCCGGGGAGTCTGACTCAGGGCTTCAAATTCGGGCTGCTTGGCCAACCATGTGACAAGGTGCGCATACCGCGGCTTACCGCTGCGCAAGTTGATAATTCCGTCGTGGATTTCCGACAGTTTGTAACTCTCCTTAGCCGCCCCTGCTCGCACATAGACCAAACCATTTTGGGAGCCTCGAAGCGTCACAGAAGCCGCATCCGTATCCCACAATCACTG